ATTTTCTATCAGATGTAACATTAGGTCAGATTTATTTTGGATTGACCTGGCATTTAATGGCAACATGTGCAGATCAGAAGGTCCATTTGATAGGATTAACTCGATTCTGATAGCTGCAAATTTCTAAGATTCTGTCTCTGTGGCTCGAAACAATTATATTACAATCCCATCTACCTCTGGTGATTTATTTCTTCTTACTGCTTTTAGAGCAGCTTTTACTTCCTTTCTAGAACTGCAGGTTCATCACAGGATTCTTCTTCAAAGGAGACCTTTTGTCCTTTCTGTATGGGTCTTCAGTCGATGTCCATGTGTACAGCTATCTGTTCAATAGTTTGAAGTACATATTTGCAATAAATAAATTATTGGTTTTGCAGAACTCTAGGAGTCAATCTCCTATTTCATATCTGTCCTCTAGGCCAAATTTTCTAACGATAAATTATTGGTTTTGCAGAACTCTAGGAATCAATTTATTTCATATCTGTCCTCTAGGTCAAATTTTCTAACAGCATTTGGTTCTGCTTTGTTCCCTCCTTTTTATTTTAATCACCTATGGTTATAACCATGTCTTGCTCAGGTGTGTGATCAATTTCCTCTTGGACACGTTTGACTTCATCTTCTTCGGTATTAGTAGTTGAAGCACAGACTTGAATTATGTTTTTGTTGATCGTTTTCCATGGAGTCTGACTGATTTTACAGCAAAAGGGAGCCTTTACATCAGGAATTAGTTAAACTGAAATAATTAAATAAATTGAAATAACTTAAATAAGGCTATGGGACCCCATCAAAAATTTAAAAAACTAAAGGATGAGCAGTAAGCAAACTATGTAATCAATTAATAAATAGGAATAGAAACTAAGCAAGGGGTTTCATCGGCTATAATTACAGGAAGTGTCTATCTCCCTTCTTCTTAGGTGAGTGTCCTTTCTTTGTGCTATGAAGAGCCAGGAGAAGCTCCCTAGTTCTATGCAGATGGCTAAGTGTTGATGAATTAAGCCCCTTTCCCGCTTCCTTCAAAGTGGTATAAACAGTATGCAATTATTTAGAGAATACTTTATACTATAAATAGACCAAAAAAATCCAATTTCCTCTAGAATTAAAAAAACCCACCTTAATGTTTCCTTGAGGTATGAATGAAAGTGCACACAAATTACAAGATTACAGTAAATGATGAATTGCAAATGACGGGTAGATAGTCAGGAAGAATGAGAGCATGCCATCTGCTAAACCTTTCAGCCTTGAATTCTATAGTGCTAAAGGTCTATCTGCCTAGTTGGCTGTCACATTTCATTAGTTTTTCTGAAAAAAACACATTATTCCGTTATTAAATTTATACAATGAACAGACTGCATTCTGAGAAGAAAGCATGGCATTCAAAGCTTTAGAAAAAAAACCCATGAACCTTATTCAGTCAAGACTTTGTTCTGTGAGAACACAATGCTGTCAGTCAGCTCTAATGCCTAACTGAAATATAATCTATGGTTCTAAGTGAACAATAAAGCAAGGGGATCTAGTAATGTTTATGGAATTCAAGTTCTTAATGGATGAATAATTTGAAATGAATTTTTCTGTTCAAGTCCTATTTTCTTACCAGCCTGATTACCTGCTTTTAGAGACAGGATATATTCAATTCTTCAAAAAACCTTCAGTTTATGACTATTGTGCTTCTGTATCCAAAATGCCTGGAAGTGGCCCAATATTGCTGCACATTATTGTTCCATTGTTGCCAGTACGAAAAAGAACACCAAGTTTTACGTAGCAAAGGGCAGCCTGAACGTTGACAGCACCAATGGCAGCGGTCAAGATGGTTTACAGGATACCCTATTGTGCTCATTACCATTTATGAAGTGATACCAGGCAAGTGAAAATCCCAGAAGCTGTCTCCTTTTTTCATCAGTTAATCACTTCAAACACAAAGCAATTGTCAGGACTGTTTTTTGACACTTGTGAATGGTAATGAGCATAAGAAGATATCCTGTAGACCAGGGTTTTTAAACTCAATTTACCTGGGGGCCACTAGAGGCTGAGTCTGGGTGAGGCTGGGCCGCATCAGATTTCCCGCCAAGTGGAGCAAGAGCCCGAGGAAGTCCCCCAGGAGTTTCCTTAGCCAACAGACAGGTGGGCTGGCTGGCAGGCTGCAATTCTGGATGGAGGGTGCAAGAGGTGCTGTCTCGGGAGAGAGCCGGCGAGCGAGGCAAGGCTTTTTTTTTTTTACTCTTGACAGCAGCGGATGTGAGGGGGCTTTGGAGGGGACAGGCAAGGCGAGGGCCACAAACTATCATCTGGGGGGGCGCAAATGGCCCCCAGGCTGCATGTTTGAGACCCCTGCTGTAGACCATCTTGACTGCTTACCTGGGAGGTTAAAAGATGTATATGTTTCTCCATTGTATGTGTTGCACCAACTCACATTTTTGTTTCATCATTTCATTAAATCCAAAACGCTTTGGAGGGGACAGGCAAGGCGAGGGCCACAAACTATCATCTGGGGGGGCGCAAATGGCCCCCAGGCTGCATGTTTGAGACCCCTGCTGTAGACCATCTTGACTGCTTACCTGGGAGGTTAAAAGATGTATATGTTTCTCCATTGTATGTGTTGCACCAACTCACATTTTTGTTTCATCATTTCATTAAATCCAAAACGGCCCTTCAAATTATTTTGGCACAGAGGGACTACATCTACGTCCAAACTGTTCTTGCTTCTGTCGTCTCCCAGCAACCATAGTACACTATATTAATTTATTATATAATATATATTAATATGTATATGGTGTTAATATAAGCACTTTTACCTGTTGAGAAATTTATTGTTGTAACAATGTAATAACATTGACCTGTAGATAAACCAAATCAAGATATAGAAATAAACCATTGTGTTTAGAGTCATCATAAAAATTAACTTCAATTTGTAAGAGAATAAAAGTATTAATTGTATACCATTCGGAAAGTGTTTGATCCTTGGTAAATCAAGAAGTAGCCATTGAGCCAAGGGGAAAGTGTGCTTAGGAGCCACTGTATCAATGGCCAAGAGAAATGGTTCATTCATGAGCTCACCCAAGTTATGGGCAAATGCTTCCAGAGTTCATGCTTCAGAAACTTTCGTGTTTTGAAGTAAATAATCATAGGAAGCATGTGGTGCCAATATGAATGTATGGGTTAGCAGATTATAAAGAAGATTAGCCTTGATATTCTGCAAAAGAAAGACTTTAGTTATTTATGTCTCTCAGTATTTTTTAATCCTTGATAAGGGATTATACAGGGCACAGTGGTAGCATTACACAGTTCAGTTTGCCTCTGCTTGGTTGACCTTCATAAGCAGTTAGACCTTTCACCCATTTCCAGAAAGAATAATGTACATCATTATGTCTTAGGATTCAGGTAGCCTGAAATGCTAATGAACAACATCTAATTCAATTATTTAAACTTCCCTTCTAAAAAAATGAAAAATAAGGCTCTTGTGCTTTGTGTTTTGGGAATAATTTATAGAGATTAGCTAAATGCTTATTAAAGCAGCAATACATAGAAAATAGACCAGTTGTGCAAATCTGTCAAATACAGTAATGCCTAAATCTACATATTTTAAAGTATCTTATTTTTATTTGCCTGCAGATTTATCCTTCTATAAGGCTAGCTAGGTTTTCTGGACAATTATTAAGTCTTATAGCTCAGTGTGTGTCATTCATTTTCAGAAGTTGACATCTTTGTCAGCTTTCTTTGTAAACTCTATTGCACTGAGATTGTTTCAGGCTGTGAAACACTTCAGGATAAAACTGCCCCAAATGTGATTTAGCAACATAGAAGTTTTATATATTTTAAGAATATAAGTAAGGAACAGGATTATATTTTGCTTTTGACTCATTTACATAGTATTACAACAAATACTGAAAAATTAGTGATGCTGTATTTCCAAAACTGGTCTAGAGCTTTGTTGTTGTTGTTTGGTCGTGTCCGACTCTTCGTGACCCCATGGACCAGAGCACGCCAGGCCGTCCTGTCTTCCACTGCCTCCCGGAGCTGGGCCAAATTCATGTTGGTCGCTTCAATGACACTAGAGCTTAGTATACTAAAACCCTCTGACATTCATATATTAAACAGGTAGTATTTATAGGAATGATAGAGATTTAGCAGCTGGTAGGACTGTCAGCACCACACCTTTCCATTGCCTGAGATTTCAAGGCCAAAATCCCTTTGAATTGCTAAAGAAGAAGGGGAAACAAAACCAAGGAAGACATAGTTCAAAATGCAGTAATTAAGAGAGATGTATGAGCCTATTGCGTCGGGACGTGGGTGGCGCTGCGGGCTAAACCGCAGAAGCCTGTGCTGCAGGGTCAGAAGACCAGCAGTCGTAAGATCGAATCCACGCGATGGAGTGAGCTCCCATCGCTTTGTCCCAGTTCCCGCCAACCTAGCAGTTCGAAAGCATGCAAATGCAAGTAGATAAATAGGGACCACTTTGGTGGGAAGATAACAGCGTTCCGTGTCTAAGTCGCACTGGCCATGTGACCATGGAAGATTGTCTTCGGACAAAACACTAGCTCTATGGCTTGGAAACGGGGATGAGCACCGCCCCCTAGAGTCGAAGACGACTGGACAAAAATTGTCAAGGGGAACCTTTACCTTTATGAGCCTATTGCAGCAGGAGAAAATTAGTAATAAAATGGTGTGGAGCTTTTGCCTACAATAATTGTATGTTCATGATGCAATATGAATTTTTGCATTGAAATTCTGCAGAAACTCAGGATAATGATAACAAAGACCAAGTGATTAATAAATGAAATATGTGGTCTCAATAGAGTATGGTGTTATTATATGGTTCCTATCAAACAGGTACTTATGCTGAGGCATTAGGGAGTCTTTTCACTACTGCCTGAGAGAGCTTGTGAAGCTGTCAGGCTTGTTGAAAGAGAGTGGGTGGGTTTGAGCTGCCCTGCCTTCTAGCACAATAGAACTACTAGCCAAATGTGGAGTAGATTTCTAAACATTGTATGCAAATCTCATTTTGACAGGTTTCAAGACTCTGTTGAAAGGAATTTCAGGAAAGTTCAGCAGTGGAGAACTTGTGGCAATTATGGGTCCTTCTGGAGCTGGAAAATCAACACTCATGAACCTTCTGGCAGGATACAGGTCAGTGATTGTAAAATGCACACATTAGGTTCTATATCCAATTGGTGGTGCCAGCTGGAGTAGACTTATTGAATAAATGTGATTTGTTCAATCCTTTTGATTCAATTGGTCAACTCTAACATACTTTGGCCTTAACTTTTATATTTTTAGATAAATATGATTTTTCTCAGTGTATAACTAAAAGGTAATGTGTGAGGCAGATGTGTGTTCAAAAACATAGGTAACATACAATTATCCTCATTAGTGAAACAGGATTAACTGTATCTCTTTGTCAAGTTTGCATACGGTCATAAACCTAGACATACAGAAAGGGTCTAAGTCTTAATATTTTTCACATCATCAAATTATCAAGTGGTTTAACTTTATATTTATAAAATACCTGGTGCGCTCGTTAAGGGAGGCACCACTGTATTTATAAAATACCTATATTTCTGAAATGTGTTATTACATATCAGTAACATTGTTACCCAAACCTGTTCCTCCAAACTGTTGGTCAAATTTCTCTAGCTGCATAGCAATTTTAGCTTCAGTTTCCCTAGTTTTGTCCACCCCCTGTTCGCATTAACTGGCACTTAAGTCTCAATTCATTCTGAAACATTAGTAAGAAAAAGAGAAAAACATTTCATTTACTTACAATGAACAGATAATAGCAAGCTAACAACATAGCTAACTGAATTTCAGCAACAGGCCTCAACAGACTATTGTTTTTAAGAGACTGAAAAGAGGGAAAGAACTCTTTCATTAGTGAAACAGGATTAACTGAATCTCTTTGTCAAGTTTGCATACGGTCTTAAACCTAGACATTCAGAAAGGCTCTAAGTCTTAATATTTTTCACATCATCAAATTATCAAGTGGTTTAACTTTATATTTATAAAATACCTGTATTTCTGAAATGTGTTATTACATATCAGTAACATTGTTACCCAAACCTGTTCCTCCAAACTGTTGGTCAAATTTCTCTAGCTGCATAGCAATTTTAGCTTCAGTTTCCCTTGTTTCGTCTACCCCCTTTTCTCATTAACTGGCACTCAAGTTCTGAAACATTAGTAAGAAAAAGAGAAAAACATTTCATTTACTTACAATGAACAGATAATAGCAAGCTAACAACATGGCTAACTGAATTTCAGCAATAGGCCTCAACAGACTATTGTTTTTAAGAGACTGAAAAGAGGGAAAGAACTCTTAGCAGAGAGGCATGGCTCTCTTTGAATCAGAGACAGGGAAGGAACAATTGGTTAGTGCTAGATAGATTGACAGTTGTCCTAACCCAGATAGGTCTTGCCCAGTCAAACCTGTTAAAGACAGCATGGGAGGCTGGTCAATAACTCCAACAAACCTGGATATCCTTAATGAATTACCTTGCTAAAATTCTTACTTAAACACAGTTCAGCTTTTGTGTCACAAATATTTTCATTGAAGTTGCTGTGTGACTGAAGGACCTCTGAAGAGGTAAAAATAGACAGTATCATTGGCTGGTTGGCACTGTGTGGATCTACAATCTCATAAGTTCTTTTTAAAAAGTATTTGAGCTGTTGGCAGGAGTCTAGCAGTCCAAAAATGATTTGTTTCCAGTCTCAGAATCACCTCGGTGGCCATAGGATTCTGGGAACTGTAGTCTACAAAATAACTTTCTCAAGCTCTGTGCCAATGGAAATAATCAGCAATGGAAATAATTGTATCACATTTCATACTCACTTAGCTTGTGGAGACACAAGATAGACTCCCACTCATATGTTTAAGACAATACGTCATCCTGTGTTTTTTTCTTGACCAACTTCAGAGAGACCGGGATGAAAGGAGAGATTCTCATAAATGGACAGCCCCGTGATCTGCGCTCTTTCCGCAAAGTGTCCTGTTACATCATGCAGGATGATATGCTGCTTCCACATCTTACAGTTCAAGAAGCCATGATGGTAATTTAAATAAATAAACTAATAATTTGCTCTGGTCTGTAAGTGCAGGCTCTTAGGGCCATTTCACATTTTATATGGTGATCCTGTTGTTTACTGTGGGTGAAGCGCAACCTTGTTACCCTGATGGCAGCCATAACTGGTGTAAAGAGTGTAATGTGATCTGTGACTTGAGTGTAGTCAGCTTACTCCAGGACAATCAGTGAGAGAATTCTTGTGCACGCTCATACTTACATAGGGTCCCCAAAGAAGTGTGATACAGTCCAGCTTCTGAAAGGAATTCAGAGGAAGATTTGCAAACAGCATTTATCTGGAGCACTAGCTAAACATATATGGCCACAAACACCCACTCAAGTACCCACCCTTCCCACTCCTTTCCAGTAAATTATTAAAGGACCAATTTGATTATTACTCCTTTTCCTATCTTCAGCGAGCCTGATCTGCATATGCTACTCTGCATATAGACGTTAAAACTATATTAGATGAAAGCAGAAACTCGTGGATGTAACAATCTAATTTGTTCGAAAAGTATTTTGTACATCGAAGTGCCTCCCTTGCCAGTGGGAAGGGGTTGATTTAAACCTGCAGTTTCCATCTCCTTGATTTTTGAGAAACCCTGATACCTCTCTATATTTCATTTAGTATTATCTCAGCTTTTAAGCCAAAAAAGGAAATTGTAATTCGGATTTGAAAATAAACAAAAACAATGTATTCGTGATGGCAAAAACACTTGCCAAAACCATTGTAATTAAAACTAAGCACAATCTTCCTTTTCACAAAAAAAATGGGATTTATCTTTTAAAATAGCAGAAGCAAAACACATTTAATGGAAATAATGCTGCTGCATCTCAGTTTCACTCACTGCTTGGAATATCATCTGATGCTTCTATAGTATATCTGGTATTTTGTTGATACCCAGCTCTGTGCTGCACTGCTCTTTCTAGCAATCCTAGCTTGTCTGTCTTGGGATGGCACCAAAATAACCTGTCCTTGCCTTTTCCTTCACTTCCTCCTAACAAGGTCACAAGGTTGCTTGTGCTCTGTAAATAAGCACTGGAAGGGAGAGCCAGCTCCCTTTGGTGCAGGGCTGGAAAGGTCAAACTGAACAGACAAATCTAAAAGTGTGTGTTGTCCAAATTTCTGTGAATTTAGCCTAGCAGCCCTGTTTAGACCTGCCAAGCCTTTTGTTACAGGGCTGGCGGCTCTAAAGTTTTTTCACCCGCTGTGGGTAAGAGAACCAAATCTAGAGCTTGGACTTAATGTTACAAGTAATGTAACTTACAATTTCTTTCTTTCTTTCTTTCTTTCTTTCTTTCTTTCTTTCTTTCTTTCTTTCTTTCTTTCTTTCTTTCTTTCTTTCTTTCATGAGGGTGTAGTAGTGTCACATTTTAAAACACAAAGGCTGATATCCTATTGCTTAGTGTAATAACTAACAACTAGAGTAGACCCATTTGCATCAATGGAGCTTACAAAAGAGCTGACTTGCCAAATTCCCACTGCTTCAATGGGCCTGTTCTAGTGTGACGTACTATACTGAACATCAGGATTTTAGCCACTGAGTGGGAATTACGGAAAGTATGTATGTGTAATGAGTTATTATCTTAATTTTAAAGACAATTTAGGGGTTATAGTGGAAGTTTTATGCAATTCTCTGATCAGTCACTCACCCACGAAAGTAACAAAAGCATACCCAGTGGCATAATGAATTAATTAATGTAATGTGGTAGGGGAGTTAATACTGATGAATTATTAGTTATCTATTTGTGTTGTTTGCCTCCTACCAGATTACTCAATGGTAGAGTGCTCTGAATAAAGGAGAAATGAAATCCACTTGAAATGTTTTGTGAATTTTATTGAAACTGCTTTCTCTAGCCTTCAGATTCCTCAGATGTTTCTCTTGATTGGAGAAACAGTGGTGGATTTGCATGCTCTGGCTTCCACTTCATGTGGTGACAACTGAAATATTTTGAAAAGTCTCATTGAAATACTTTTGGCTTCTTTTTGGATTCCATGCATATTTCATCTATGGGAAGACCCTCACATTTCCATCAGTCTTAACTTCTGGTTAATTTTCAATTAATGTATTGTTAATGTAAGCACTATTCAATTGTGCTTTGAAGCCCATATGTACTGGGGGAAGCATCTTAGCCTCATCTCCATTTCCGTGGGAAATGTGACTGTCTAAAAAGAAGAAAGCCACTGTTTCTGGGTAGCCTCCCCAAATTAGGTGAATGCTCCTCCTACATTACAGTTCTGACTCATGTGCAGCAGCTACATGAGTACAGCAGCCTGCCCCTCTTCTTTAACATTTCCATGTTGAAAATGACAGCATAAGATGCATAGTGTCTGTGGGCTTTCACTGATAATCCGTTGTTTGCTTTCATGTTACCTTGACAGATAATCACCCTAAACAACATTAAGGTAAAGGTAAAGGTTCCCCTTGACAAATTGTCCAGTTGTTTCCAACTCTAGGGAGCGGTCTTCATCCCCTTTTCCAAGCCATGGAGCCAGCGTTTGTTCGTAGACAGTTTCTGTGGTCACGTGGCCAGCGCGACTTAGACACGGAACACTGTTACCTTCCCACTGTAGTGGTTCCTATTTATATACTTGCATTTTTACATGCTTTTGAACTGTTGGCAGGAGCTGAGACAAGCGATGGGGGCTCACTCCATTGTGTGGATTCAAACTACAGCCCAGAGGCTTTGCGGTTTAACGTCACTTTTATGCAACATTAATGTTACTAATTGTTTCCCCTTTTAAAATGCAGTTTTCTGGTTTTTATATGTTAATGGTTTTGCTTTATTTTTCTTAATGATAGCAGCAAATTTGTAGTAGAAATAATGTGTACATCTGTAGCATCACTGAGCCCCTAAATATGATTGTTCCTGACAAAAACCATGTTTCTGCTAATATTAAAGGTGTCAGCACACCTGAAACTTCAAGAAAAAGATGAAGGCAGAAGGGAAATGGTGAGTATATTGTTTTGCTCTGAGAAGTAATTTGACACACTTTTACTTAAGACATACTGATTTCAAAGGACTAAGCATGTTATTTAGGGAATCAGCATCCATTGGATAAAGTTTACTGAACGTCAGGATGGTGTGGGTGGGAGGGATATATTTAAGTATAATGCTCACAGATTTCCTCAGACAATGACAAGGCTACTTCACTGAAGAGTAAAATATATATTCTTAACTAGGTTTGCATCTTAAATAACTGGCAGTATAAATGGTTGCTATAGATATGGGGTTAAAAGGACAGTGCTGCAGAAAGTTCATTAATGTGTAACATGAACATATGCAATGTGGTTAAAAGCAGAGCATCGATGAAAGCTGAGGTAACTTGCATTGTGTGAAGTGATTCTTAAAGTTAAACATGTAGCTTCGCTGCAAACCTTTTGCCAAAATCATAGTTTAAAATAGTGTGATCCTAAGTGTATTCATCTAAAAGGAAGTCCAGCAATGCTGAATGAACTTACCCCCGAGAAACTATGCGTAAAATAAGACATGCAGCCTTCAATGATTTCCTTTCTTTTCTTTGAACAGAGGGCTACCTGGAAAATGAGTATTTTGAGCAAAACCACACAGAAAGACAAATATCCAATTTTATCACAAAGTTTATACATTAAAATGATATTACATAGCATAGATTTTTATATTTACTTTCTCTTTCTAGATAGGAAATACTCTTCTGCTCTGTGGTGAATAAAGTAAGGTGCCCTGAGAAATGGTAAAGGGTGAACCTTACTTTGGTATTATTTACATGGATAAAATGAGTATAGGTTCATAGTAGTCACTAAGCAGGATTCTCTAAGAATAGCAAAGGAATTAAAACACACAAAAAGAATACTGAAGAGATTTTGAATGACCTGGGATGTATGAGGGTTTCCCCTGTTCCTGTGTTCTACCCTCCTACATATCAAAGGACCATGTTACTTCAGAACCCTTAGTAAATCCCACCCACGTAGCTGTCATTTTCTTTGTATCAATTTATATTCAAACATTATCTCAGGATGCCAATTGTTCCTTAAATGTCACTTTTTATGTTGCACATCAGTATGGATGGTGCCTGCGGAAATGTTTTGCAATATTCTTGATGTGTCACTCCTCTCCCCAGGTAAAGGAGATCTTGACAGCTCTGGGGTTGATGTCATGTGCCAATACGAGAACTGGAAGTCTTTCAGGAGGCCAGAGAAAACGTCTAGCCATTGCTTTGGAGCTGGTGAACAACCCACCAGTTATGTTTTTTGATGAGCCTACCAGGTAATTGTGTTCCAGTACTTGCTCATTATGGTCCGTACTGTAAGATATGCTGTTCTTTGCTAGCACCCGAAAGAAACTCTGGATGTTCCTTTCAACTTGTTGCCCTAAATACAATTGCTGGCCCCAGCTAGAGAAGACCTTACCTACAAAACATGGTACTTACGTGCTGACCATGTTTTCATTGATTCAATGGATCTAATGTACCTGGGGCTGACAACTGGATTTAATCCCAATTTAATGTCTGCAGTTCTATTGAACTTTTAATTTCTGTTGGTTTGTAACTGTTTGCTAAATTGCCTTGAGTCCCTATTCTCTAAGAAAGGTGCACATAAAAAATATAATCTATCAATCAGTTTAAGCCAGTTTTTGAAGTTGTAGTTGTATTCATCTGTGCAAGCTTATTTATTCAAGCAGACATTTTCCTGCTTGAAGAAACAAACAAGATATTGTTTTTCCCCCTTTTCATCTCCGGCCTGCTGGCTGAACACTGCTGATGTCGTAAGATCCTTCACTATCCCTAAGAGCAACAGAACTCCTCTTTTCCAGGTTAAATATATTGAACTCCCTCAACCATTCTTCACAGTGTTTGGTTTCCACACCTTTTACCACTCTGGTCACCCTTTTTTGGACATGTTACAGCTTGTTGACATCTTTATTAAGTTGTGGTGCTCAGTACTGGACATAGACATAGTGCTCCAGGTGAGATCTGACTGAAGCAAATTAGAGTGGTTCTATTACCTCTCTTGATTAAGCCACTGTACTTTGCTTGTCAGAGCCAAGAATATTAACATAACTTAGAAACTTTTCATGGTTGTATAGTTATATGTTAGGGATGCTTTATCTATGGATTTTCTGCACCAGTAAGAGATGGACTAGATGAACCAGCGAGTTTGTCTCATCTCTATAGTTCTGTCATTCTGTTACTCTAGTTTGTGGGAAATAAACCTGAGAAACTGATCTTTCTTTCTTTCTTTCTTTCTTTCTTTCTTTCTTTCTTTCTTTCTTTCTTTCTTTCTTTCTTTCTTTCTTTCTTTCTTTCTTTCTTTCTTTCTTTCTTTCTTTCTTTCTTTCTTTCTTTCTTTCCTTCCTTAGTGGCCTGGACAGTGCATCTTGCTTTCAGGTCGTATCACTGATGAAGGCTTTAGCGCAAGGTGGCCGGTCCATCATTTGCACCATACATCAGCCCAGTGCCAAACTCTTTGAGCTCTTTGATCAGGTACTATTTCAATATCTTTGATGAATTAATTACTCTGTAAATACTGCACTGACAGATTGACCATAGTTCCTAAGTGACACTCTTTTTGAAGTCTTAAAATGTTCTAAGAGAAACTTAATATTACATACACTGTTTAGTTTTCCAGTATCTATTCACTGTTGACTTTGATAAGTCAAAATATATTTTGGTCCTGTCTCCCTTCCTGCAGAAGCTTCTTCCTCTTCTAAAATTCTCGGTGCTTTTTAAGTGTAGGCTCTTTCTGCCTGATATATTGGCAAGCTTCCCTGTGCCACTCAGGGGATATGTCTTTGGGAAGAAATGAATGAAGTGGAAGTGTAGAGGGGAAAAAGCTGTCCAAATAACAGATATTGCAGTGTTTCACGAGAGGGCAATCTTAGAGCTTTTCATTCTTCAGCAGGAGGGAAAATCAAGGGTTAAGGAATAGTCACAGAATGCTGTTATTAGGCAGGACCTCTGATGGCACTTGGACACAATTTTCAGACAAGAGATTGCTACATCAGAATGCACTTTGTGGCAGTTGGTTCCTTGAAAATGCTTACAAATTGAATCCCATTTCATATGCAAACCTCAGGTGTCAGGGAGAAGCTTACAGGCTGGCTCTCATATGTAGATTTGGGTCTGTTTTGTGCATCTTGGCTATTTTTAGGTTGCATTCTAGCTGCAAACCTGATGTGTTAGCTGCAACCTCTCACAGGCTATTTCTGTGATTTATGCTAGCACATTTTGTAATCAGGGCATCAGCCACTGGGTTGTGCTTCAGGTTCTCCAAGGGCTTTATTACAATTTATCCCCTACACAAACTATCTGCAGACATGTGGAGAACTAAACCTCAGTGTGACTTAAACCCCTTTGGGATGGGAAGAGGCAGTTCAGGATGGCTCATGGACCGCTCTGGAATATCTCACGCCAGATCTGGCACATTTATATCAGAGAAATCTCCTGACTTCCCAGTCTTTGTGTAAGCAGCCTCCAGATTCGTTGCAGAGTTCTCTGATTACAAATCTTCGTAAGCAGTCTTGATGCTTTTCCAGCCAGACAGATGTTCACTGAGCAGGGTCACACCATATAATGTTGAAGACTGTATGCATAATTTCTTGGTTTGTTTGTTTTTTAAAAAAAAAACTTCTTCTTTTTTAGCTCTATGTCTTGAGCCAAGGGCAGTGCATTTATCGTGGAAAAGTGTTAAACCTAGTTCCCTACTTGAGAGATTTGGGTTTAAATTGTCCAACATACCACAATCCAGCAGATTTTGGTAAGTTCAAAAGAGGAATTCCTTTTTCCCAACATATTTTGATTCCCATCCCCGCTTACACACAAATACTTCATATCAAAGCTGAAATTTGTAAATAGTGATGAAACTATGACTGCTCTCTAGTGGTAGGTTGTGATACTGATCTCTTCTTTGAAACGAGAACCTGAGCAAGTGAAGTTCAAGCCTCTGTCAGTGCTGAAAGAAGTCATATTGTCAAAGCTACTGCTCCTGTGTCACTATTAAAGACACAGGAGGCTGGTCCAACTTGAATTTTGTAACCTTAGTGGCTAGACTTGCTAATAACATTGATGTATAAAAAATTTCAAAATTATAAGCTAGCCTTCTTGTATGTGTGTGTATGTGTATTTATGTACAGTATAAATGTAAGTGTATATCAACCTTCATATAAAATATCCCTTGCCTAAATTAATAAATGTGGCTTACAGTAAAGATAAAAACATGCGTAACTTCTGAACAAAACATTAGTATAGGTTCTTACTGTAGAACATGTAAGTAGCTGCATTTTTCCAAATGATGTTCCAAGTGTCTTCTTGTTCTTTCCTTAGATCTTTCTAGAACTGTCATGATTGCAGAATTTTTGCTTTTTATTATGCAATTTATCAAACAAATTCTTTAATTTTGTTTCTCAAACAATTTCTCTTGTGGACCAGAATTTCCCATCTCCACTATTTCAGTGGGACGGCAGCCCATTCTAAAGTAATCATCAGTTCTGTAGCTCAAATGTTCAAGGGTAGAACCCTTTCCTCAAATGCACTGGATGCAGAAACAACTGAAGCTATTATTTGCATTTTTAAGTATTTTTATCCTGTAGTTTACAGACTTCTTCACTTTGTGTTCGTACCTGTGTACACAGGTAACTGTGGTACAGTTATTAGAGTGCTGGACAGGGAGTTTCAGATGTTTCAAATTGAGTTCAGGACCCCAATAAGCCGTGTAACTCGTTGGGCAGCCAAATCTGGTTAAGCCTCTGTTTCAGCCAGATTCACCTTTCAGGGTTGTTATGGTGGTGAACTGGGGAAGAGGAGAGCTATACACGCCATCTTGAGCACACTGACAAACATGAGGCATATGAATATATATTTTTAATAAAAGAATAAATACAGAGAATCCTGTTTTCCATTGACTGTTCCACAAATGTTCTGCATAAAAATTGATAAATACTTTTCTTCCTTCTTTTCAGTGATGGAGGTAGCCTCTGGCGAGTATGGAGATCAGAACAGTCGGCTAGTAAGAGCAGTCCAAGAGGGAAGGTGTGATGCCGATTACAAGAGAGACTCCGGGCCAGAAAATGAACTTAATCCATTTCTATGGCACAGACCATCAGAGGAGGTGATTCAGTTTAATAGAAATGAGAGGATAGCTGAGAAAAAGCAGTCAGGTTAGCTGCTGCTGTTCTCAGAGCAGCATATCTAAGAGACGGTTGTGCTTTTCAAAAAAATAACAACAAACCTTTTCTACTCTCTGGATATAGTGTTAAAAGTGGAATTAAGTCAATTCATAGATATGTCTGTTAGTGGCTGTTAGTGATGAAAGCTAAAATGAACTCTTGGATAGAATTTTCTGGGTTAAAGTTATTGTTTTTTTTTTCCTACTCTTGTGAACTTTCCAAAAGCAAAGGGATGGCTATAATGGCGGAAACATGACATTGAAAAGGTGGACTCTTTTTTGACTGAACAGTGTTCTTCTTATGTCCTTAGATCACAAAAGGATAGGTTGGCTTCTGACTAAATTAACTGACCTTAATTTACATTGAAATCAATTGACTTCCATGGAAACAAAACACAAATGCTTTAGCCTGGATCCAACCTGCTGACTTTTGAGAGTTTTATACAATGAATCAACTGGGAGATGGATATCTGCTTGGAGATCCTTCTCAAGTCATGTGTTCCTTCCAACTTCTCGTGCAAAATGAAGAACAGACAAAGACACAATGTTTAACAACATCTTTTGTTTATTTATTCTGTCAGGATTCTTCATCCACTGAAGGCTGCCATAGCTTCTCAGCCAGCTGCCTTACTCAGTTTTGCATTCTTTTTAAAAGAACTTTTCTCACAATAATGAGGGATTCGGTAAGGCTTTTTAAAATACTTACTAATTGGATGAAAAAATGTATTATATATTATCAGTTTTGGATTGAACTGATTCAACGGGTTCGTTATAATTGAGATTATATACAGGATTTGAACCCGTTTTTCATTTAGTATCCACATGTTATATCTAAAATTAAATTTTAAAATGTTACAGCGTTTGCTAACGCCAAATTCTTAACACAATGATTTTTTTTTCCATACTAGGTTTTGACACATTTACGGATCACATCTCACATTGGGATTGGACTTCTCATTGGGTTGCTGTATCTGGGGATAGGAAATGAAGCAAAGAAGGTCTTGAGCAACTCCGGCTTCCTCTTCTTTTCCATGCTGTTTCTTATGTTTGCTGCTCTCATGCCCACAGTCCTTACCTGTGAGTAAGGGTGACACAGTTCTGCAATCTATAAAAAAAAGATAAATTGTGTAAAATATACAAACATTTCTGAGGCATGCAAACTCAGAGGGTGTGATTCTGTTAAAAATTTCAAAAATTTGTCAGCAATTTTAGTTGAGTTGACTCTCATTTTTAATATATTTGCAAATTAAATTAAAATTTGATAAGCAACATTAATGGTTGTTGTAGTAATCTCAATATAGTATTATGGGTAATATTCACAAATAAATATAGTAGAATATAGTAAAGCAGACAATGTTCTAATCCCTTGTGGTTCCATGTTTTTGGTCCATACTATCAGACGATTGATAAGGCATGTATTAGTCATTAATATAATGAGACACTCATGCAATTTTTGAGAATTAGTATATGCTGTAATAATCATCACCATGTACTATCAAGTCAGTTCTAATTATGGTGACCCCTTTTCAGGGTTTTCCAGGTAGAGAATACTCAGAGGTGGTTTACCATTCTCTTCTTCTGGGGGTGCCCTGGGACTGTGCAGCTTGTCCAATGCCACACAGGCTGGCTGTACTCGCAAGAGGCAGTCTGGGACTGTGCAGCTTGTCCAATGCCACATAGGCTGGCTGTGCTCGCAAGAGGCACTATGGGGAATTGAACTCTTAGCCTCTGGCTCTGCAACTAGATACCTAGACCACTGAGCTATCCAGCCAGCAATCATACAGTATATACCTTACTTTTTTTTTCTAAAGCAGTGATGTGCAAACTGTGGCCCTTGGACAATATGCAACCCGCTACAGCTGTTATGTTGTAGCTCCCAGACTTCTTTTGTTGAACTGCACTTCTGGAATCCTGTATGATGGTGAATCACCTTTTGAATAGGTCACAGGCTCTCATTCACCATTTAATATCACAGAGTATCCACTTTTCAAAACTGGTGTAGCCACTTCCTTTTTTTGCTTGTGTGTTTGTAGTATTTTTTGTGATCTGTTCAGCCCCCAGAGAGTCCCACGGAGCATAGGCCCCGCGACCCACCACAGCTGCTATAAAGAAGTGTAAGGTTCAGTTATAATTTCTGCTAGTCTGTGTATGTGAAACCATCCACCAACAAAGCAAATAGTTTATGGACAAATCAGTGAGAATGCAAACTCAATAGAGTTATAAGGGAACAATGCACCAAAGGCAAGCTTGTTCAATATTCAAGGTCTAAGAGCCCGAAGGATGAAATGCTGCAGCCGGATGTAATCCAGGCTTGACTGCTGCCTTCCTCTGTCTGGACCTAGATAGGACACTAGTTCTAGACAGAGAAGAACCAGCCAAATTCAGTAAGTGAATGAGCAACAGCTATATATAGACTTTGTCTGGAATGGTCTTCTATGAATCTTGGACCTTGTTTGGTGAAAGAGAATTGTGGTGCCTTTCCTCTTAGTGCATCCTCTTGCCAGCCAAATACAAGGGTCAACTGGTTATATGGATACGGATGTTGCAATGTTGAATACCATTGCACTAATCTCTGTTTTCATTGAAGATTTCTTTTTCTTTGTCCAAAATAGTTCCCCTGGAGATGGGTGTATTTCTTAGAGAGCATCTGAATTACTGGTACAGTTTGAAAGCTTACTACTTAGCTAAAACAATGGCTGATGTCCCCTTTCAGGTAAATGTTATTCTGGATTTCACATTTTACTTTGTATGACAATTCTTCCTACATTTGGTTTTTTTTTTCCTTATATGTATTGTAAAGCAGAAGGAAATACAGTGGTGCCTCGCTTGACGACGTTAATTCGTTCCAGCGAAATCGCTGTAGAGTGAAAACGTCATCAAACGAAATAAAAAAAACCCATTGAAACACATTAAAAACCGGTTAATGCATTCCAATGGGCGAAATACCTAATCGTCCAGCGAAGATCCTCCATACGGCGGCCATTTTCGGGTGCCTGTCTTGCGAAAAATGCCTCCTAAAAACAGCGGGGAGCCATTTTGAGCAGCCGGCGGCCATTTTGAAAACCCGACTATCAGCTGTTTTGATCATGGTAATATGAAGAATCAGTTCCCGAAGCAGGGAACCGATTGTCGCAAAGTGAAAAAAACCCATTAAAACATTGTCATGAAGTGGATTCGTCATTACACAGGGTAATCATTAAGCGGGACACGACTGTATGTACATTCATAGTGGATTCTGTTCCTTCAAGCCAGCCATGTTTTTCTGTACTTTCCCAAAGATGTGCCACACATAAAATAGCTTTGGGGAGCCTTGTTGAGAAACCATGGCAACAAGAAGAAACAGACTCCTACAACATAATAATGGCCACAAATGCAAGGAAATAACAAGCCGTACCTCTATATCAGGATCAGAGTTTGAAAATGTTATCTTTCTTGGGACTGCAACATGTCTAAGTTCTCTTGTTCAGTCCATCACTCTTCACATGAGGAAAGTAACAAAAGTAATAACCAGCAGGAAGGGAATCACTAATTTGGTCCCTCCACTTAAAGTGGATTGCCAAGCATCTGAATAGTACTAATGTAACTCTTCATTTTCAGTGTTGACATAAAAAAAATCACATTCATGGAAACTTGTTTCTCTCTTGCAGATTATGTTCCCTGTAGCTTATTGTAGCATTGTCTATTGGATGACAGCACAGCCCTCAGACGCACTTCGGTTTGTCTTGTTTTCTGCTCTGGGGACAATGACCTCGCTCGTGGCTCAGTCTTTAGGGCTTCTAATTGGGGCAGCATCCACCTCACTACAGGTTTTTTTTCTTAATTTTCATGAAATATATAACTGTATATATGTTAATTTGGAAATTGTACCTTATTCTTTGTTGTCATATGTGGCCATGTGGAATGCAGTCCAACAGACACGCTTGGCCCTGAAATAACTTTTAGCAATGATAGTTTTGACAAAAAGTTGACCATGTTTTTACTGTTTCCCACCCCCATCTCCTCCTTTTTTAAAGGTGGCAACATTTGTGGGTCCTGTCACCGCCATTCCAGTTCTCCTCTTCTCAGGATTCTTTGTCAGCTTTGATACTATCCCAACATACCTTCAATGGATGTCTTACATTTCTTATGTCAGGTAAATCTGAAGAACCTGGGATCTTTCAGCATAATTTTCCAAAGGCTTTATCATTTAAATGATAATTTTCTGGGTGCTGTTTTTTAAAAAATATATTTGTATTTTTAAGTAGCAAATATACTTGTGATAGGATGGCTAGGACAAGTACTGTTTACTTTGACTTTTCAGAGACCACAGGCACCTAAAGAAGTTTAAATCAAGTAGATGGCATCTTGAACTTGAGCCAGGGAGCCATATGTTCAGGTTTTACCGATAAGAGCCATTGAGTGAAGATGACAAATATTCTGCCTCTTCTCTATCTGTAAAACAGAACTTCTTGTCTTCTGTTAGAGAGGTGTGTTTGAAATACTGTAGGTGAAAATGATCATAATGGCCCCAGTTTACAGTTGCACTCACATGTGTTTCACTATAGCCCCCTCAGCTTGCTTTCTGACAGGTGGTTGATGCTGATATACATAATCACAACCAGTGAAGGATTTTAAAAAAAATATTACTATTCCACACAATACATGTACAACCTAGCAAAATGGCTGCTTGTCTATATGGATTGTTCTTATTAAGTGATGGTATTTAATATTCATCAAGTGAGGTTCCTCTCAATATGAAGCATATCATCTATCTTTTGCTTCTTATTTTTTGATGCATACATATATTTTATAACATGTGTTTTCCCCACTTTGTTTTCATATGAGCCCTGTACATTTGATTAGCCAGAGCTTGTGGTTTTCTTAAGGTTTCTTACTATATTATATACCTGAACAAGGACTCAACACTACATTCAAATTTAACATTATAATTGCAATGTGCATAACAGCCACAAGTAGAAATTAAGGCTGATGGTATTGCCACTGCTTCTTTTGTGTATCATCATATATGGAACTTGATGGACAAAAGTATAATTAACAAAATGCCCAATGTCTTAATCAATAATTTATACAATGATGACTACTGTAATATCCCTTCATATTTTGGTACAGCATATTCTTCAGCTTGCTTTGACCTTGCCCTTGTAAAACATTCTTCCTTGTAGATACGGATTTGAGGGTGTCATTCTTTCCATCTATGGTTTGGATCGAGAGGATCTCCACTGCGACAAAGAAGATACTTGCCATTTCCAAAAATCAGAAGCTATCCTCAAGGAACTGGATGTAGAAAATGCTAAACTTTACTTGGATTTCATCGTGCTTGGGATTTTCTTCATCTCCTTACGCCTCATTGCCTACTTTGTCCTCAGATACAAAATCCGAGCAGAGAGGTAGAGGGAAAACAAAAGCAGCAACATGAAGCTGTAGACTCTTCTTATTTGTCTGGTTGTGGCAGACAAGTCTCCAGTGCCCAGATGCAAATGATATTGTGATCTAGTCCCTAGGAAACATGTCATGTTGGATTAGTGAGTGCATAGCTGCTGTAATAAGTCCAGCGGGGGTAGATCATACTCCTTTCAAATTTTCTAGCTTTGTCTAGGAAGGAGAAACAAAAGGGAGTTTTGTGTCACACTTGAAAAAATATTGCTGTGGATCCCAGGAACTTTATCTTATGGGAAATATTTCTCCTAAAGTTGCTGTGCTGCTAGCAAAAAGATATAAGCTGGCTGGAGATTTCTCATCTGTGTTCCATCAGCTACCAAGTGGAAATGTGAGGACCTCTCTTCCTATTGTATCTAGACTTCATCTTCACACATTTTCTGCATTTTTAAGCAAATTTTCCAACCACAAGAAATCCTCTATGAAAGCAGAAGTCTAGAAATTCTTCAGCCCTTCAGCTTATCTCTTTAAAAATGAATTAATACATTTTTAAAAGACGTAAGTTATTTGTTATTCTCCTTTGCAAACAGAGTCTGGAGTTTACTCTTAGGAGCTGGTCTCATTTTCCTTCCAAACTGGTATGTTAGAATAAAATGTCAAACTTCATGTGCATTTCATGTGAATATTGTAAAAGAATTATAGAAGGAGTATTAGACATATAAGATTGTTCATTTTAGAATTCTGATTTTGTGGTATCCTTTTCATCCTGTTTTTGAGTGGAATTTGAAACATTATTGTCTATGTTATCTACCTCCCATGAATGCAGAAGCCAGGAATTCCAGCAGTGGTAATTTGAAGCCAGCAAAGCAAACAGATTTGAAAACTCATATGAACGTTTAAACATTTAAAATGAGGTTTATAATGACAGAACAACCACTATTTCTATGTCATTCAATGCTTACGGAAATGGCAAATGTCTCTGCCATCCATATGTAGCTCTCCCAGTTTTTACAAGGTCAGTATGCATAAAGTCCATCAGTTCTGGTTTCCACTGTCCTAACATCCTTTAAAAATGTTAATGCATGCATTCACCACAATTCAGTGCAAAGCTAAGTAACCTCTTGAACCAAAGGCGATTAAGGCAACCACATTCTGTCCTGGTGTGTAAACATTTGGTCAACTGGATTTTTTATCACTTGTTTAATATTTTTGTTTTCTCTTCAAGTCATGTTCAACTTGCAAAACTGTTGCTGAATGATTGGGACTGTACCCTAATTTCAACAGATCCAAAATACTTCTGTACATAAATGTGTTTTTGCAATGGTGGCTTTGCACAGGATTCAAAGCTGTTTATCTGAAAAGCTAATGTTGTAGAAAGATATGCAACTGTCTAGTATGCTTGGAGGAGATACACATGTCATGTCTGGCTTGGGCCAATGCATGTAGTCTGGAACAGTGCATGATATTTGGTTGAATCCTTGTGATTGAACTAATTCAGACTTGAAGCAGTTTGGTTTCAGCTACTTGTTCAGAAATTACATAAATCAGCTAATGCAAATGAATTAGACAATGTGGCAAATGCTTAGATATCCTTTGCACAATCCAGTAAGAGGCACTGTTGAACAATCTGTTCTAACCATTCCTGAGATTTATCTCTGTTAATCTCAAACTCCTTACATGAAGCTGTAGGGTTTCCTCTGCCCCGAAAAGCTTCTGAAATTGAAGATGTCTGACTATCTCATAGAGAAGCGAATGGTGCAATTCTAATACAGTTTGATTAATTTTTTTATTAATCCTGTATATTACCAGGGATAATTAAATATTATCTGCACCATTAATTGCCATGTAGTTATCCAAGAATTCTGAAGGCTCCATTTATCTAAAATGAAAGATAGTTGAATGTGATACTCATTTCTAATGTCAGTGTATGCTGTGCACTATATAAACATCCAGTCTTTTTAAAAAAGATATCTCCAAATTTATTATTGTAAATAAGGATAAACAGCAACATTAAAAAATACTTTGATAAATTGTGCTAAAGACATAATTCCTTCAACAACTAGTCATGAAATTTGAAAACAATATATGAATTGTAAAAATTTGCTTGGAAATCTATATAATCCCCACAATCACTTCAAAAGTGATGCTATGTTAATCTAATTTTGTGTAGATTCACTTTCCAGCACTGCAAATGTTTGTAAATGCACTAGAGGAATGGAGCTTTAAAGAGTGCTACCAGACATTTCATTTTGCATGCAATGAAAACTGATTCTGCTTAGATTTTATTCTAGTGCCTCTTTTATCAAAAATCTATAAGGGTTTTCAGTGCAAGGCAGCACTGGTTTTAAATGCAACAATCATATGAGTGTCAAACCGAACAACATGTGAAATTCTTGTCCTGTGCCTCGCTCCCAGGAATCAGTCTGGTGGGGGGAAAACGATGCTGACAGAACCCAAAGGTGAAAATGTGGACACTTTCTAGAACACTTTTGAACTTATGTATGTGAAACTGACCTTAGAATGTGGCATTGGTCAGGACAGGAAAATCTTTGACCAAGTTATTGTAATAAGCATCTCAAGCTTCCTGATAGCTCCTGTGTTCCATGCATTGCCATGAAAAAGTGACATGTTAAATATGATAAGAATGTGGAAAGATGAATATCATGGTAAGGTGTTTCCTTTAAAAATTAGCTTCTTCTGTATGGAATGTTTCATATTTTGCAATCATGTAATTAAAGGATATTGGGTACAGTTTAGTGAGCTTTCTCCATTTATTTTAATGGGATCCCATCAAAAATGTATTAGAGTGAATCGAGAAAGCTGTATGAGGTGATTTAAGACCATGCTTTGCAAAGTCTGTAGTCCCACAGTGAAAGAGTATGTGGTGAATGAATAACCTTGTCATTGCAATTCAATGGTCTTGACTCAATGCAAAGCAGAAATAGTTAACCTCTTCATCTTCCCTGACCAATTTCAGGAATGTATCAGCTCAGCCTAGAATTATTATAAAGTCACTTGTGCCTATATTTTTGTGTTTGTCAATCATCTTGGCACCACTTGTTACTTCAGTGGCATAGCCTCAGGTACTGTCAAGTTTAATTCATGTCAAATCTGTTGTTCTGTATTACTATTTCCAAAACATTGTCAAACTTGACAAACTTTGGGAGAATAGGTTGAACCAAGAATTCTTCTGCAGAATTTTGCTAACAGTCCAGGAGACTCCCTTTTTTTGTACTTGATTGTCCTGTGGACAAAATATATACAGCAGCCAGTTACAGTGTCCTCTTCACCTTATCACCACCACCCTTGGCTACCTTTTGAGTCTTTGTGTAGATGTGTAGGATAGTAGGATGTCAGGGATCATAAAGAAGTGCTTCGGGTTTTTGTTCTTGTTTTTATGGTTGATTTGTAGGATTTGGAGTCAAAAGAGCCAGCCCCGCCAAGCCCAAGCTAAAGACTGATGACTGAGGACTATATTTCCTTCATGCTGGCTGGAAATATTCCTTGAAGCAGATAGTGCATAAGGTAGCATGTCCCTCAGTCCTTTTTTTTCCCTCTCTTTTCTGTGTCTCCATCCATCCACTGTCTTCTGATCATGGAAGTGGATTTTAATCCAATAAGTTTTTTATAAATATTTTCTGGCTTGACCCCATCGACTCCCAAAGGCTATGTACCAGATTTTTTTTTCCCGGGGGGGGGAGGGCTAACAGATAGAAACAAATAGCATAGCGTGCCCTTGTTTCTTTGCAGGGCATGTTTTGTCAGGTCATGCGTGTATGCGCATCACCGTTATCTCTTTCAGACGGGTTCAACATCACATTTACTGTTCATTCTTCCAATCATTCTTATTAAGAAGTGTTCCCAGAAAAAAAAAATTACGGGATGTAAATAGAAAGTCATATTTTGAAGCTTCCATTGAAATACCAAATGCCGAAGAGAGAAGCTTACAGGAAGTGTTTTTAAAAACTACGTAGAAGTGCTTAATTTTTCTTTCCTGTATATTCTCTGCTGAAAAGGCATTTTGTCAACTGCATAACTTTATTAAGCAAAAACAGAATATGTTTGTGCAATAGCTGTGTAACTATTAGATTTTGAGTTTTGACACAGCCTTTTACTTTTAGCCTCAAGGTGCAAGCTAGAAGAATTGATGTCTGCTGATGCAGTTCATGTTAGTAGCTCATCAGTGATCACAATTATTTCTCTGCCCTGTAGCTATTATTTCTGTGGACCATGAATAAGTGCAGGGAAAGGGAATTTAGTTAACAATTGGTGTCTGTTGATGTGGCATATTTTAAAATGTTTTTTAAAACTATAACAGGAAATTAGTTGTTGTTTTTTTATTAGTTTTCCTCACCATGCAAAAATTAAGCACTATCTGCTCACCCAGAGCAATGGACTTCATACACTTGTGGCATACTGCCACAATGGTCTTGAGTTTGCTTATAATTATATGGCACTTTCCTTCATTAAGTAACAAGAACTGGCCACACAATGACTGCACAATGGCCCATACTTGCCTTGCCAATACAACCACCCTGTAGTTTCATTTTCTTTGGAACTGATGCTGCATGCATTCTAACCAGAATGATTTTGGGGACTTATTCCCCCTAATTACATAATGCAAACAACATGCTTTTAAGACAACTTATTTCCTGGTTTTAAAAAAAGTGCATCTTTATATTTCTTATTAAACAACAACAACAAAGCAAATCTGCATTACTTTAATATTGCACACATGAGCCCTTGATCTTGCCTCGTTACACATTTTAATCTCCATTGGTCACAATGTACTGGGTTCTTCTGGATAGTAAAGTTGTCTCAAGTGGCTTTTAGGACTGAACTGTTTTACCAAAGCTTTGTAGGAATGGTCAGTCAAGTGGTACCTTTAAATGAATACATTGCCTGAATAATCTTGATTCCAGGCATCAGATGTAAACCCACTGGCAGCCAAGCTATTGAGACTCTTGGTTGTTGTGGGTTTTTCGGGCTCTTTGGCCGTGTTCTGAAGGTTGTTCTTCCTAATGTTTCGCCAGTCTCTGTGGCCGGCATCTTCTGAAGATGCCAGCCACAGAGACTGGTGAAACATTAGGAAGAACAACCTTCAGAACACGGCCAAATGTGCCCAAAAAACCCACAACAACCATTAGATCCCGGCCGTGAAAGCCTTCATGAATATATTGAGACTGTATCTCCTTTATAGAGTCAGAGTTCACCAGTTGTTCAGTTAGTTGTATAGATACACATTGGCCTGTTTAGTGGCTTAGAACTATTACTGTACTTCCTATTCATTTTACAAATACTTTAACTGAATATTTAATACATGAATCATGCACTGATTAGATTGGCATGTTGTGGATTGAAATAATTCTGTTTGCAATGGTGCTCCTACCCAATGACGGTCATAAAACTTGAGAAGTGTGTACAGGGCATAACAAAAGGACTGTTTGTGAGTGAGCTGTGGCTGCAAGAGACCATTTCTTTTGAGATATTTATCTATTTGTATAATTGTGCTACTAACAATAATTCCTGTGGCATCAGTAACAATTAACACAATTTTGTATTGGTTGTAGAAATTGCTTCTAATTATAATATTTGCTAAAATATAGAAGTCATCAGTTGCAACAATAGCTGCAGCATTTAGCAACTGAGAATCCTAGGATGTTAAAATTGATGGTATTCCAGCTATCCCATACAAAGCGCAGGATTGTGTTAAGCGATTTTTATGACCTGCTGATTCTAATGGCAGACTGTAAGCACACATCTAATTTTCCAATTGAAATAAAAGGATATTTAACTTTTAGCCAAGTTAGAAATGCTTAAGCTGGTTGAGATCACATTGATGCTCCTGTTTGTTCTTCAAACAAGCCAACTGAGTTTTGTTTAGAGGACAAAAGAGCGATTTTGAGTTTGAGTAGCTTGATAAGTGGGAAACCAACACAGGATTATATAGTTGGCTTATTCCATGGGTATTTGATATATTAATGAAATAGTTTGAAATGAAAATGGGCTGACTGACATGTCAGCCCATTTTCATTCCCCCACCAACATCACAAAGCTTTCACCTCAGGTTTATTCAGGACTTCTCCTTGTTAAGAACACTATACGCACCCATTTCAGACCACTTTTTAAAGGCCAAAGCACATTTCTTCCTCTTACAAAATCGTATTTATTCCTTGGGCATTCAGTGCCATATGCCTGAGACATCCAATAAGGAAATAAAGCTGGGTGACCTCTAAACTGGCCAATTACAAAGCTAAAATCAAGCTAAGTTGCCAAAAGTTGATTGAGGCAAAATCATGTTCAGTAGTCTTTTCCCCTTAAGGACACTGCTTTCTAAAGCAACGAGCACCTTGTCTAGAGAGTTAACATGTGAGAGTAGGTAGCTCAGGACTATTCCTATTCCTAATCTGCAGGTGCAGAAAGCTTATGTGTGCCCATAAATAGCTTGTACTTGGACCTTTTCCAGCTGGTCAAGAACCCTGTGAAAAGCAGAGTCCTGGATGATGGATATACCAACCACAGTCAAAGACTTTGCTCAGACCTGCAGCTAGATGTGCAGAGTTTTAAGACTGTTGACCAAGATTCCAACTCTCCCCAGTTTCAATATGTGCACAATTAGTATATGAAAATCACTTGAGGTTGTTTTGGTTTGTTGATTGGTTACTTTTCAGGACATTCAAAGTAAGAAATTGTCATTTAGAGCAGTGGTCCACAATCTTGGGCCTCCAGATGTTCTTGGACTTCAACTCCCAGAAATCCTGGCCAGCAGAAGTGGTGGTGAAAGCTTCTGGCAGTTGTAGTCCAAGAACATCTGGAGGCCCAAGGTTGGGGACCACTGATTTAGAGAATTGGACACTTGTATTTTATGTACAGGGTCAGAATGCCCAGTATGTTCTCTAGTGGAGCCTTGCAAAACTCAGTCAAGGAAAAGATAGACTTCCTCTATGAAACTGTAGTCCTCCACTCATTTACTGGGAAATAATACCTGGTAAACTGAATAGGACTTATTGGGGTATTGTTTTTTTTCTTTGTTTCAATATTGTCCTGCCTTTCCAGTAAAAATTATCAGTGAAGGTAGTTAACAAATATTAAAACCTTTAACTAGATTTAGTTAAAAATCTGGAATACGAATGTAGTTCTGTAGTTTTTCCTCAGGCATAATATTAACCCCTCCTGCATAATATTCTCAGCAGTCTTCTTTTAGGTATTGATTAGTTACTAGCAGTCTACTGAACTCCTGCGAAAGTCTACTGAAATTTTATTAATCCATTATTCCAAGAAAGAAACCAGGGAAATGTATTCTTGTAGCATTAAATGAAGTAGTTAATTGTTCCTAGGGAATTTTAAAATGAAGGAAGAAGGAAATGATGTGAGTTGCATTGCAGCAGGGTTGCTTACATGTTTTTAAAAGCCCAGGACTGTGATATCTGCAGGGCATCGGTTGCAAGCCGCCGCCACCCCGCAGATGCCAGAAACTGCAAACAAGAGTGAACCCTATATATATCATTGTCTCTGGTTCCCCCAGTTCTGGTAATTATATCATGGAAATATGTATTTCTGGATTCTTTCTTTTAATATTTTTAATATTTTCAGACTATGGATAAGTGAAACGGTGGATACTGACGCGTGGATATAGGGTTCCTACTGTAATCTCAGATTGTTTGTGCAATGCCAGCTCTCCAAATTGGTGCCCTTAAATCTTACCTGGTTGTTTAAAAGGGTGTGTATGTGTGTGTGTGTGTCAGTTTTTAAAGTTCTTTTGTACACATAAAGCAAGAGTCAATGCAAGTAATCTGTCAAAAACACAGCGTGCTAAAGTGTGTGTATACTGTATATATCAATTAGCTCTTCTCTTTCGGCTGAGTAATGCAGAATGCATTACTTTGGTTCTCTTGGTTTTGCTGTTGTAGAGACTGCTGCTGCTTGCACGCTGTGATAAAATTTGCACTGTTGTAGATACATGTAGACTTTGTGGGTGTGTGGGGGTGTTTCCAGGTGGCTTGTTTATCTTTCGTAGTTCAGATGATAACAGCTGATTGAACTACACGTACTTGGTTCATGTACCTAATGAAAAGATGTAGGATGTTCGACATTCTAACTGTAATTTAAATAAACTTACATTAAAGGCTTTGTTTAGTTGATTCCTATAGGATATTTATATGTGCATCATTTTCAAAATTAGAGCTCTTGTTTTCTGAAAATGGAGAACATTTATAATAATGTAAAAAAGAATGAAATAAAGTATTGCTATTTTCAGATTACTCTCTTGGTCTCTTTCTTCTATTGAAAAATGGCTAGATTTTAGTGCATATTCAGAGGAAGTTGAACATGTTCCATATGCATTGTCTCCGACACATTTTGGGCATCACCTGGCAGGACAAAGTTCCAAATAGTGTTGTCTTGGAAGAAGCTGGAATTGTTAACATGTAAACTTTACTGAAACAGTGACATCTATGTTGGCTCGGGCATGTCATGAGAATGGTTGACGGTCAGATTCCAAAAAACCACATGTATGGAGAATTAGTGCAGGGAAAATGCCCCAGAGGGAGACTACAGCTGCAATACAAGGATATCTGCAAGCGGGATCTGAAGGCCTTGGGAATGGACCTTAACAGATGGGAAACCTTGACATCTGAGTGTTCAGCCTGGAGGCAGGTGGTGTAGCATGGCCTCTCCCAAATTGGAGAGATACTTATTCAGCAGGCTGAGGCAAAGAGGCAGTCTTGAAACCAGCAAAATCAGGGAGCTGGACAGGGGACAGATTGAATTTGTATTCAGTGTGGAAGGGATCGTCATTCTCGAATTGGCCTTCTCAGCCCTCTAGACACTGTTCCAAGACCTCTATTCAGAGCACGTTACCATAGTCTCTTGAAACTGAAGGATGTCTACCAGAACTTTTAAGTCCTGAGACCAAGTGGAAATACAGTATGATACTTAGCTTTTATTTTACAGTGCTTTCTTTCTTTCTTTAAATTGGCCTTCTCAGCCCACTAGACACTGTTTCAAGACCTCTATTCAGAGCACGTTACCATAGTCTCTTGAAACTGAAGGATGTCTACCAGAACTTTTAAGTCCTGAGACCAAGTGGAAATACAGTATGATACTTAGCTTTTATTTTACAGTGCTTGCTTGCTTGCTTGCTTGCTTGCTTTCTTTCTTTCTTTCTTTCTTTCTTTCTTTCTTTCTTTCTTTCTTTCTTTCTTTCTTTCTTTCTTTCTTTCTTTCTTTCTTTCTTCCTTCCTTCCTTCCTTCCTTC